CAGAGAAAACTGGCTTGGCTTGGGAGTGTAGGAGGAGGAGCATTCGGAGATGAGCATCTTGGGATGGGGAAGGGCCGCACACTGTGGGAGACGGAGATGAAGGTGATACTCAGGCCAAGAGCTTCCAGGGGAAAGCCAATGAGAGTCATAGCCCTCAGGTCACAAACAAGAGGGATCTCATCATCCAAACTAGAAACTGACAGGAGCCTCCTGAAAACTGTGTGTTTGTAAGTTGACTTCTTAATATTTGGAAGGGGGTCTTGAGATTGGTCTCATTGCAACCATGCTACCTTTATCTAGCATAATGTCAAGAAAAACTTCTAATTGGGTTAGAATTTTCACATGCCTACTTTACTAACATACTGCAGGTGTCCAAACAAGTATGTTTGTGGAATCCCTGACCCTGTGGCTCTTGATCTCAAGTTTGAGTCCCTAGAGGGTGAATATACTACCAGGCTTCTGAGGTGGAGACAGTCCCCACAGGAACCAAACTGTTATATAATAAAACCCATCCTTTATTTATTTCTCCTCTGTCTATAACTGTTCAGCCAGTGCACGATTGAACTTTCAGGGAATGAGAATGGAGACATGGAGAGTTTGTAGAGCCTGAGTGGGGCATGTTTTACAATTCAAGGTCAAGATAGGTTTCTTGAGGAAGTGCTTTTGTGTGAGCACCACACCCAGCTGGACAGCTCGGCCTCCTGCATGCATGGTCAGTTTTCACTTTCTGCTCATTGGCCCCTCATTTTGGAAGTCACTTTGCCAGCCCATGTGGCTCCCTGCTGTTTCTCCAAGCCAGCTTCTCCTCTCCCCTAGGCTGCCCCTGCCCAACTGAGTCAGTGCCATCAGCCACTGCAAGGGCTGCCTCACTGCTCTTCAAGCCCGCACTGGCCCCCTCTGCACAGCCTCCTCCCCTATCTTTCCAAAGTAAAATGTGCCAGTGTCTTCTGTGGCAGGCAGCTTGGGGGACACACACGCACATGCACACGCACACTAAATTCTTTTTCTTCTTGCTTTGGCTGGCTAACCAGCATTCAATGCCTGAAAGCCTCCCTTCCTCCTCCCTTGGTAACCCTCACTCAGCCTTTAGAACTTTCACCTCTTCCAGGGAGTCATACCCTGGCTCTTCCTCCCAGGCTGGGTCACAGCTCAGGATGTGCCTGTGCATACATGGCATTTGGGTTCCTTGCCATATCTTTTAATAATCTGTTTAACTATCTGCCTCTCCTCTGGGTGAGGAGATCCAGGAAAGCATCTCTGAATCTGTCATGCCCAGCACCTGATCCTGATCAAGGTAGAGGCCTTGGGGCCAGGCCAATGACAGGGCTAATAGGTACTCCTGGGCTCCCAGGATTAGACCCTGATTGGAGACTCTCCCAGGTGCTTCTAGATCAAACTTCCATGGAATCCTGGTCTGGGAAGTTCTCAGCTGTCTCCCCAAAATCTTGGGTGTGCCTTGTGGAGCCCAGTCTGTCTGAAACTTGGTGGGGGATGGGGCGATGGGGAATGGTGGCTACCCTTCAGTCTTGCCACCTCCTCCCAGGCTGGAGCCCAAATATCTTAACCCTACATCTGGTGGTGATGGCTTGCCAGAAACATTCACCTAGCGGTGGAGAGAGCCCCGCTTTCCCCTGGCTACTAAAAAGGAACTCTCAACTCTGGCTCACATGTGAAAGGCTCTGCGCAGGGTCAGAGTGTGAGCAGGCCAGCTTCTTGGAAAGCTCCTCACCTCCAGGCACTGAGGTGAGGGATGTACCGGTTTCTGGCCATGAATTTGGCTTCAGGGTCCAAGCGTCCTGCCTGACTCGCTGCTGAGCCCTGAGTTGTGGGGTAGGGGATGTGTGCGCACCGAGGTCCCTGAGGCCATCTAGGGTCCAGCCCACCGCCACAGCTTTACTCCAGATGTTTGGCCACAGTGGGTCCCTTTGCATCCTGGTGCTTGGCTCAGCATCCCTCTTCGTCTTTCTCCTGGCTGTCCTTGGCCCGGCTCCGGGAGGGGTTCTTTGCCCAGGGTGGGGGTCATGGGGCAAGGCACTCAGCAGCTGATGTTGACAATCGCCAGGGGGCTCCTGGAACCCCCAAGAGCCGTCTGAGTCCTACCCTTCTTCAGATTCAGGTCTCTAGTGAACGGGGAGCATGAGGCCCATGGCTGCCAAGTCTCTGCATGCCGCAGCCCCTGCGGTTCCCCACTGCCCTGCTGGCCTCAGATCGTCCCCCAGTTGGGAGCAAGGAGGCGCACTCTCCAAGCTGCCAGCAGGAGAGCTTTGCAGGGCAAGGCTGAGACTCCACAGTCACCTGGTCAAGAGGAGGGTGGAGGGGAGGGAGGTGGGCAGGGAGGTGGAGTGGAGCTGAGGGGGAGGGACAGGGGCATCTTCCACAGTTCGCTCCTCATGGGGGCCCAGACACTGCCAGCTGCAAGCTGCTGCGCGTGTCCGGCTGCTGCTGCCACTGTCTCCACCACCTCTGAAGCCTCAGGAGCCACGGAAAGCGCCGCCGCCTCCACCGCCAGACTCCCCAGCTGCGCCAGCCTGGGCTCAGGCTGTCACGCCACCGCAGCCACTCCTACAGTCGGAGAGCCGGGGCCTGATCACACTGTGCTGGGGTGGGCAGGGGCTGGAGTGGTGCAGGTGCTGGCAAGCTGGGGAAGATGCACGGGTAGGATCTCCTCTCCCTGGGAGCAGTCTGGGACTGCACCCGGACAGGTGCCCCCCTGCTCAGTGCTGCCCTAGGCCTCTCCCTGGCCTGGGCTGATAAGCTGCAAGCCCAGGGATCATGGAAATGCTGATGCTGTGATGTCTTTGCTGGACATGCCAATGCTTGTCGGTGCAGGTCAACGCTATCATCCACCTCGGTGAGTGCAGTGGGAGGCAGGACTGAGGATGAGCGGGGGCCCCAGTGGCACGGTGGGCAAGAGGCAACCAACCTTGGGCTTAGGGGCTTGGTGGGCGGTGCTCCCAAGAAGGGCCAGGCTGTGCTGCCCCGTGGGGGAGATGTGCATGGGCAGTATCTTGCTCCCTAGGCTCCTGCTGCTCCCCGAGTTTCCAATACCCCTGCGGGGCCTTGTGGCCTCTGTGGACACTTAGGGCCTCAGCTGTGGGGAACCCAGGGCTAGAGGCACATCTAGAACCTGGCTGGGCCTCAGGCGGGGTAGCGCTAGCCTTTACTCTAAGCTCAGAGCAGCGAGAGTCAGGGGGCAGACAGGGTCCTAGTCTCACCAAGTTGTCAGGGCAGGATCAGAGAGACCCAACCTGAACTGTGGGTGAATGTGGATGGGTGGGTGTTGTCAGTGTGTGTTGCTGTGTACATGCCTGTCACCATGTTGATGTCACTGTAAGAGAGCATTGGGGTGTGTGGGGCCATCCTAGCTTGTGTTGGTGCGTGCATGACTGTCTCTCAGCCTGTTAGAGTGGACAGAGTGTCTGCCTGTTTCCCTGGATATCTGTGTATCTCTCAGTATATGTGTGGGGCTGTGTGTGTATCTGATTGTGGCGATGCAAGCCCAACCCTGGACAGTCCCAGAGTTTCCCGTGGCCCAAGTGTTGCGAGCTGGCAGATGGCCTGGGGGGTGAGAGCCAGGGGAGAAGCCTGGGCAGTGGTGTGTTGGGGGAGGGTGTGTGTTCAAGATGAGCAGTATGAGCCCAATGGAGGGAGAACCAGGAGAGGAAAGAAGA